GGGGCATCCCTGCCTGGTCCTGTTGTATATTCTGAAGGAGGGAGGGTGTGCGTTTGATATGAGGAGGTTCACTACTGGTGTGGAGTATAGGGTTTGGAGTGCAACAATAAAGGTTTGTGGGAATCGGAACTTGCAGAGGGTAGCAAATAAAAAGGGCCAGAGGAGGCGATCGAAAACCTTTTCGGCATCCAATGATAGGAACAGGGTTGGGATCTCTGTGTGAGGCTGTCCATACTAAGTCAAAAGTCAATCTGGTGTTGTCATATGCCTGTCTGGATGGGATGAAGCCCACTTGGTCCGGGTGTATTAATTTGGGTAGGTACGGGTGGAGTCTGTCCACCATTAATTTTGTGAACATTTTAACGTTCACATTCAGTAGAGGGATGGGTCTGTAGTGTCCCGGGTCCATGACAGTTTTGATTGGCTTGGGTAGGAGGCATATGTCAGCCCTGAGTATGTCTGGGGGTAATGGGTCTCCCTGGAGCATCGCGTTGAATAGGTTGCAAAGATGAGGTAGTAGCGTTGGGAAGGTTTTATAATACAGTCCTGTGAAGCCATCTGGGCCTGGGCTTTTGTTTGGCTTGATGGTTTTAATGGTTTTGGCTACTTCCTCGATTATGATGGGTTCAGCTAGTCTTTTGGCCATTGCTGGGGTGAGGGCTGGCAGTGGTATGTTATTAAGGTATTCCTCTATGGAGTGGTGTGTCTGTGCCGGCTGTAGTCTGGTGGTGGGGGGTGTGGTCATATAATATGGTGAAGTAATTTTGAAATATTTCTGCTATTTTCGCTGGGAGCGTATGAGTTTGTCCGTCATGGGTCTGTATTCGTTCTATGCATTTTTGATCCCTTCTACATTTTAGTCTCCGAGCCAGTAGTGTGTCTGCCTTGTTAGATTTTTCTTGGACCATTGGAGTGCTTTTGATGCATCTCTGGCCATGAAGTCCCTTATAGTGTTCCTGCATGTTGTCATTTTGTCCCTTATGTCTGGAGACAGGTTGGCCTTTTGCCATGTCTCTAATGGGCAAAGGTCTGTGAGGGCTTGTGCTAGTTTGGCCAGCCGTGATTTTTTTTGTGTTTGGATGCTATGGTGATGATTTTTCCCCTCAGGACCGTCTTGTGTGCTGCCCATAACATACTCTCGGAGGAGACTGTGTTCTCACTAAGGGTGAAATATTCGATTATTTCTTTGTGTATTGATTCTTTCAGAAGTGGTTTGTGTAGCAGTGTGGGGTTAAGACGCCAGGACCAGGGGCGGCTATATTGAGGATCGATACCTCCAGTGTGGTCTCTGCATGGTGTGACCACGAGATGGTAACAGCGAGGGTGGGATGAAGAATCGGTCTATCCGGGAGTACGAGTTGTGTGGGTGGGAGTAGAATGTGTAGTCCCTTGTGGCAGGGTTACGCAGCCTCCATATGTCTGCTATTGGAAGTTGTGTGGCGAATAAAGCAAGTAATTTGTCTGCTTCGGTTGTGGGTGGTTGGCAGTGTCGGTTGGTGCGTGGACGATGCCTGTCTAATGCCGGGGACATGGTGGCATGGTGGCATTTTATAGTGGGACGGGAATACGGCTAGGTGTGCTTGCAGCGATTTCCAGAACAGTTTGTCTGGGGTGTTTGGTGTGTAGATTGAGGTGATGGCATAGTTGTTGCTGCCTACGTGGCCAGAGACTGCGATGAATCTCCCCTGGGGGTCTTTACCTTTTGGCCCAAATGTGGGGGGTTTGGTTATAGGTGTGAAGACTCCTGGTCTTATTTCTGAGATGCCAGGGTGTGTGGGGTCAGAGGAAGAGAGAGCCTGGTGGGGGGGGGGTTCACCAACTGAGCCCCTGTTGGTCTGTCTCGCGGATCTGAATGTCACGTAGTAAGTGGAGTTGTGTCTGTGGGGTTGAGAGGGTGGTCCGGAGTATGCTGGGTGAAGGTTCCGGTCCCCTTTGTTTGTGAGCAGCTTTTGGACCTTGGTTGTATCATTTCCAAAAGTGTATTAGCACAGTTACAGGTGTGCACTTTGTGTAGGACTGGGAGGCATAGTGGAGGAGATAGAATTCTAAGTTAAAGCATACATTGCTTTGCTAAGGGTAAAAAGTATAAAATCTTTCAACATACCATATTGAAACCTTTAGAATATTCAGATTGCCAGTCATCTGAGACATTTAAGTACCC